GTTTCATGAATTGCTTCCCCCCCCAATGCTGTCATCTCAATGTGCCCTTACCAGGTAAAATACTTCGCCCTTCCAAAATGAAGCCAGTTCTAACACCAAGAGGGACAAACCTGTGTTTCCTCAGAGACTCTCCAGTGGGCTGGGAAAACTCGGGGAGGTCACTCCCAGCATCTTCCCCTTTCCTTCCCTGCCTTTCCCACCCAAGGGCAGATAGTCGTGGCCTATAGCAGTGCTCGCACAGATACCCTCCTTTCCTGTGCTGGTTACTCCTTTTACTCCTTCCTCTAGAGTTTCGTGCCAATTTGCAATTAGGGGCTTGTTTTCCGTGCCATATTTATGTAAGTCTGTGAAAACAGTAGTCGTGTTGTAAAACTTACAGAGAGAGTTCTGTATATGTGTAGTGAGTAGTCCTGAATTTGTTAAAAAAAAAAAAAATCCCTGGGGAGAATTTCCCAGCCAAGTTTTAGAGGTTTTGCCTCTTTATGTGAAGCTTGAGGTCCAGCATGTGTGGGGAAGAGAAGGAAAAAGCCTCTTTCATTTTAGCCTTTCTGTATTTAATGCATATAGCACTAATACTTCCCCAGTGTACAGCCTATTTGAGCTTCAAAATTGGGACAAGAAAATAAAAATAATGGTAAAATCTGAGATGAAATTCTCACCTGTGTTATCTCTAGGAAGAAGCTAACAGTGTCTATAATGGTATAAATTCAGTGTCTTGCTTTTAACAGTATGCTGGGATCTCCCCAGACAGCAGAGCAGCAGGCACTCTCTTTAATAAGGTTTTTTCCTCTGAGTTGATCTGCAAGATGAGCTTCTCCCCAGACACCCTGTTGGGTGCTCCGAGTGCTTGGTGTCCCAGCCGCAACAGCACAGCCCTGCTTGCTTTGGTTTGCTCCTCTCCTCCTCCCCACTGAAGGGAAAGGGGAGAGAGACCTTCCTCTGTGAGAGAGATGGTGTCTGGCACCTCAGCTTCACTGGCAGCCCCGGAGAGTGCTGGCCTTGGCCTCTAGCTTTGTCTGTATGGAAGGTATTTTTGTGAGAGTGATAGATTTGAGCTGCTTCTCTGCAAATATTTTCAAGTTTATTTTTCCTGTACATAGCATCGCCAAGCAGAGTGTTTTGCAGAACTAACAAGAGGAAAACTTGGCTTTTTGAGCTGTGTCATTTTGATGTTTTATTTGTTTGGAGTGAACTCTGTAAGAATGGGACAGCGTAGGGATTGCCTAATCCATCATTGAAAATGGAGGGCAGTGTAACAGCACACAGCAGCTTAAGAGCAGGGAAAACATTAGCAATTCAGTAATATAGGGCCTTGACCTCGAGTCGTAACTTTTTTTTAAGATTAATGACTTTTAAAAATAGGATTTTTTTTTCCCCTAACAAGGAGAAGCTTTCTGTGATGTTGCAGGCCAAGGTCCCAGTATGATTTCCCTCTCCCATATCCCTGTATCTCGCTGATTAGGAGATTGCTCCAGGGGAGTGCAAAGTCCCCTGGAAAACCCCGTGTCCCGACAGTGCCTGTTTTGTGGGGTGACTTCTGTGGCTGGAGGTGGGGTGACTCGGAGGGAATGATTAGGTTGCAGATAACAGAAACACGGCTCTGTCCTCTTTCTCAGCACTTCTCTCTTGCAGAGTTTGAGTCTGGTGTCTTCTCTTCACAGTTCTTGGGTGCTTTTCAGTGCTCATAGAGTATCTCCCTCTAAGCTGCTGTTTTGCTGCTTCCTTCAATACATTCGTATACTTAAACTCTCATCCGTATATGCTTATTGATGAACCAGGTGTAACTTGACATTTGAGGGGATTTTAGTACAATAGATGTGCCTACACACAGAATTACAATACCTTTGAGATCATGATTTTTATTTGGTACATTCAGCAGTGTTCACTTGCTTTTATTTTTTTTATTTTTATTTTTATTTTTATTTTTATTTTTATTTTTATTTTTATTTTTATTTTTATTTTTATTTTTATTTTTATTTTTATTTTTATTTTT